GCAAATTAAGAATCAAATCGTACTATGTTGGAATCTTACAGATCATAAAACGTTACTGTAGATCACGTTTTTACATTAAATCGTGACTATCAATTACGACACTATGTTAAAGTCAACTTTTTCATTTTTTTAAATGACCACACATATGGTTATAAAATAAACCTTGTTGTAACAGAACACATTCCAACAATATTCAATCAAGCTTTTGTTTGTGTAGCCCAATTTTGAAACAATATTCACTAAGGTATGAATTAAATAAGTCAAGTCAATATATCATATTATGTTATTGTTGTACCATAGCTTTCAAATTATTTTTCTGATTTATTAATTAAAAAGATGACTTATTTTTATGTGTAGGAATAAAAATGGCGAATTTTGAACATAATGTGATGGTTGCTTTGTATTGGGGTGGCAAAATAATTACTGAAATGAACGGATTCAGGTATACTGAATGTGCTAGAATGATTATTAGCATGTATACTTCAATGAAGTATGTTGAATTATTGCATGAGAAAATGGGTACAACTAGTGAAAATATTCAAATGGATATTTCGGGAAAATATCCTTGTTCGATTCAAGGTAACCATACAAGGTTCATTGAGTTTAAAATTGAGGATGATCAATCTTTGCTACAATTTTTTTTTATACCTCAAAACTTTGCGGATAAGATTGACATAAATGTTTTGGAAATGTATGTAAAGACCAAATCAACAAATCAAAATGATATATTTCAAATTAGTGGTCAACATGGTTATCACATGAATTTATTGGCTCAAAATCATGGATTTGCCACGGTTAGTCAACCTCATTATGCAGAACCAATTGCTCAACCACCATTCCAACAATTGTTAATGTGTGACCAACGATCATCTGGTGAAGGTTCAAGTAGCCAAAGGCATGTTGACAATAGCCCGAGGGAATATGAGGACAGGTAAAACAACAAATTTATGTTTTTACTGAATTTTAATATAATTAGTTGATAACATAATTTTACACATTATAAATATGCATAGATAGATAGATAGTGATATTTTTTGTGATTAATTACCTTAATTTTTTTTAAGAAATAACCTTTTAGAGTATAAATTACTGATTTTAAAAAAAGTTTGTTGGTTCATAATTTTTCTAGAATTTAATTAAATTTCTTTTTCCACAGAGAAAATGAGACCAACGTTGATCCATATAGTGATGTAAATGCTGAAATTAGTGAAGAAAGTTCGGAGGAAGATGAACCTTCAAAAGATGATGGTGAAAGTGAATCTGATGAAGATATCAATGATGCTAGAGATTTTTCTCAAAATGACATTGGTATAAATCTTCCTAATCAATTTGAACGAGATGTGTCTGAAGTGCAAAATCATGATGTACCCTATTTTAGAACATTGGATAATGAGGAAGACGTTTTCATGTCTACATGTGAATTTGAGATGGAGTATTGTTCGGTCTGGTTTGAAGATGCCACAAAAGATTTGAAAAAAGGCATGTTTTTTAGTAGTAAAGAAAAATTAAAACGAGCTGTGACAATTTGGAGTTTGAAAAAAATAAAGAGTTCAAGGTGGTGACATCAAACAAGAGTTTATGGGTTGTAAGATGCAAGTTTCATACTTTATTGGGTTGCTTGTGGTTTCTCCGAGGACGAAAGGTTGGAGATAACCTTTGGAAAATAGGAAAATATATTGAAAATCATAGATGTGAGACTGAGGGGCTTTCTAGTGGTCATGCCAACCTAAATACCAATTTAATTGCATCTTTGATTCTAAATCAAATTCAAAAAAATCCTAAGGTTTTGGTGGTAGATGTCATTTCCAAGGTTCACGAAAAATTTGGTCATCAAATAACATATAGAAAAGCGTGGCTTGGACGTCAACGCGCGTTTGAATTGGTGTATGGTGACTTTAAGAAATCGTTTAGTGACCTACCCAAATTTTTTGCAGCTTTTCAACACTTTAACCATGGAACAGTTGTGGAATGGAAACACGAAGAGTCTATTAGTTCATTAGAGGTAAAAACTTTTAAATTTGTGTTTTGGGCTTTCAAGTCATGCATTGATGGATTTCGAACATGTCGTCCTGTTATTTCAGTAGATGGAACTCATATGTATGGAAAATATGATATCAAATTATTGATTGCTGTTGGAATTGATGGAAATGATAACATTCTTCCTCTAGCGTTTGCTATTGTAGACAAAGAATCGAAAGAGGCATGGAAATGGTTTTTTAGGAATTTGAGTGCACATGTGATAAAAGATAGAGAAGGTATTTGTGTTATATCTGATAGGGCAAAAGGAATTTTGACTAGTTTACAGGAGTTACGCCGATTTCAGGAGCCTCGAGTCTTTCATCGATATTATATAAGGCATCTTAAGAGCAACTTTCAATCTCGATTTCCAAACAAGGATCTTAGTAGGCTGATGTGGAGGGCTGCTTCAGCCCATCAAGTAAGAAAATTTGAATCCTTGATTTGGCAAATTAGAGAAGAAAATGAAGAAGCATATGAATATCTCATGGAAATCCCCTTGGACAAATGGACTGTTAGTCATGATGGTGGAAAAAGATAGGGAGTGTTGACAACAAATCTTTCAGAGTCGTTCAATGGAGTGTTGAAAAAAGCACGAGGCTTGCCAGTCACTGCTATGGTTAGACTTTCATTAGAGCAAACTGTTGAACGGTACACTCCTAGGTCTCAAAAAGCGCAACAACTTTTAGAACAAGATGAATTGTGGACCGAAAGGTTCAAAATGAAGTGGGAAAAGAACTATGAAAGTTCAAAAAGGCACTTTGTTTTTTATTGGAATATACCCACAGGGGTATATGAGGTTAAATCTATACAGGTTGATGGTAATGGTGGTAATCCTCATTGTGTTTCACTTAATGAAAGAAAATGTGATTGTGGAAAATGGGTTAATTTGCATTTTCCATGTTCACATGTCATGAAGGTCACTGATAGAATGGGAGGGCTAGCTAGAAACTTTGTTAGTGAACATTTCACTGTAGAGAATTATGTTGCAACATATTCTGGGTCCTTCTCACCAATTGGTCATGAGGCGTATTGGCCATCTCCTAATTTTAGAATGGAAAGTAATGAATTCTATCGTCGTCTCAATCGGTCAAGGACAACTAGAATACCTAATGAGATGGATCGTGGTGCTGCAGTATATGAGCGAGCTTGTGGATTATGTAGACAAACCGGACATGATAGGCGTCGATGTCCAAATCGTAATTAAGTTTAAGTGGATAGTTTTTTATTAGTGTAATTGTGTTAATTCCAATTGTGGGTCAATGTCTAGTTATGATAATTTTCTTTGAGTTAGCTACTGTAACATATTGCAAATAATAATTAAATTTTTATATCTATCTTTCTATTATATTGCTACAATACTTAACACCATTAAAATAAAGTGAAAAAAGATTAACCACCAAAATGAAGTTCTTTGCTGGAATTTCAAAAACTAAAGTCACTACAAAAAAAAGGTCATTTTGTGGAGGGGTTCTTATTGATTTGTGGGAGTTTTTGACCCACACAAAATTAATTGGGGTGGTTTTAGAAAATGCCACAATTACCTATGCCACGAGCATATTAGTAAGTACTACCTTTATAACATAGACTACATTTAAAATATTCAAGTTACAGAACAACATAAATCTAAATTCATGACAAATCGACACAATTAGTAACTATGTTTGATCACTTAAAATTGTAAAGTTTATAACTTTAACAAGTGATTTCACATCAAACAAATGTGAAAAAGGTAATATATAAGTGTTTGCTTGGTGAAACTCTATCCATGGGCACACATTTTTGATCCGCATCACTAAACTGAAATAATAAAATAAAATATTAGATGCAATCTATAAACCACACTGAACAAAACTAAATGCAAAGCACTAGTTAGTGGATGTCCAAAAAATAAATCGACACAATTAGTAACTATGTTTCAGTTACCATTTTTTTCAGGCAACCTCCTCAGGTCCAGCAGTCCTTTCTGTTGTTTATCTGACAACATCACTGCAGGCATACAGGGAGCCAGACATGCTCAATTTGGAGTACCTTTATTGGATCTTCACCTTAGCAACAACTTACCGTCCAGACTGTTACCACCAAGTTTCCAGCGTGTTGCAGCCAACTCACAACTTCCTAATGTCATCAATAAGTACCAAAATGACAAAAATGATAACATCTCTTGTTTGCTTACCATGGCTACTTCAAGTAAGACATTGGAGAAAAATGGTACTATCTCATTACCAGAAAACAGAGAAAATGAACTCAAGTGAGTAAGTTTGGTTTTACTGAAAACAACTCTTAGAAAGATCATCTCAATCCCTCATATTCAATGTTTTCCCAAGTCATACCACTATCATGACTAGGCTAACAGTGAGCGAGAGTGATCACTTAAACCACGTTATCTTATCAATACTAACTCAAGATTAGACGCTGCATTGATCAATTTTGATATGAAAATGAACGGCAAATAATAATAAAAAAAAATCAAAAGAAACTCATTTTTATTCTTGTGTTTAACTTTGATAAGGCCTGAAAATTCTGGGGTATTACAACTGAAATGCATTGCTTATCCATGATTCAAACAACCAGCCGAGAAACAAAGTGATGCAGACAACAAAAACAATTGAATGAGACTGAAAAGACAAAAAAAATCTTTCTAATACCACCTAATACAAATATACAATCTTTCTAATACCACCTAATACAAATATACAATCTTTTATTAGAGTTTTAACTGGTGTAACTTCAATATTGAATTAACTATATGTTTCAGTCCCATTTATGGAGAAAATTGTCCTAACGTGCTGGATACAAAAGGCCAATAGATATAAACATAAACATAAACATAAACATAACATATAGCAGGTCAATTGTTCAACATAAAATCCATTTAAAGTCCATTCACTTACATGACCTCCAAAGGTCAATCCATTTAGAACGAGTTTATAAAGAATCCGATACGGATGCAACAATTGAAAGACTAAGAATTATAAGCTTACTTGGAACCACATGATTCATCCTTTGCCTTTTTTCTTTGTTAACACAGAAACTTTGTTATCTTTTGTTTTTTTCTTTTGGCCGTGCTGATTAAGATGATGACTCCCTGAAAAGTAAGAACAAATTTTCAATTATTCAACTAGAAAGGAACACTTATGTCAAAGAATAATGTGAAGATTTTAAAGTACCAGTCCCACAAAGCTTAGGAAAATTTTTACGCTTATTCTTCACCGATGGTTCACCACCTTGGCTTGCACCTTGATTTGCATCCTCCAACTCATCACCATCCACTTCATTGTTAGAATCATTCAACTCATTACCTTCTACATGCGATGAGGAAAAGTTTGGGGCGTTGTCAAAATGTTGAGGTTGATTACTACCAAATACATTTTCAAGTGATGTAAGACTTGGATCCCTTGAAATTTGTGAAGTCTGTGGTGTCATGTATGGCATAATCTCAGTGTTTGTTGGTTCATAATCCGAGGCTGCTTGGAAATCTTGTGTGGCTTGATCATCTTCACCCATTTCAATAGGCGCTCGACCTCTCTCAACAGCACGTACCTTCCCACCCGCAACACCACCTTTTCCTCGCCGACGAATAGGGGGATGCAAATGGTCAGACATTTGCTCATCTCTTCTATAGTTAGCTTGCACATGAATCCTATCTGCCTCTTGCACATATGCCAAACAATTAGATCCTTCATCCCGCACCATTGCACGAAATCCGTAAAATTCCTCCATTGATGGATTATCACCGAGTGATATTGCTTTATTAACCATCAAATGAATATGACGTGCCTGGCCAAAATAATTAATTAAGAAACATGCTAGCCAAGTTGACCAAGTTTGTAAACCATGCAAAATTAATAAGGGAATCAGATTTTTAACATGTTGAGTCAATTTTTATAAAAAATGTGGCAGACCAGTAAATTAGGACACCATGGAGAGAATGAAATCATATCCACAAATCACAAATATGAAGTACAAGTAGAACATATGAGGAAAACTTTGATATATATGCTAACTGGACAAATTATATCCACAAATCCACAAATATGATATACAAACTTTGATAGAATGCTAATGAACCAGATTGTACCAATTTAATATGCTAACTGGACAAGTTAAAGTAAAGAAAAATTAAGTTATCAAACTTACCATTGTTTCGTATGTCGTCGCATTAGGCACATAACCTTGTTGTTGTTGAGGACTCGAAATAGGATTACCAATGATAAAACGAGTAATACGTCTAAACCAAATAAGGTAGGGATCATCATACTGAAGTGATCCATGAAGGATTGGTGCATTACATACATATTGGTCAATATGGTTCCAAAAATGCAACCATTGTGCATGCTCTAACTCCCAATTTGTGTTTGGTCTTCCTCGACGATCATGGTGACAATGCGTAGCGTCAAATGGAAATGGAGATGGTATCGCCTGTACCAATCCAAATTGCCTCATAACTCGATCAGGTAAATGAACCTCCACAACATCCCAACAAAAAATTGGAACTCTAGCACGCCATATATCTCTTCCAAAGCGGCAATATTCGGGAAGACTCTCAATTATGTCAGAAGAATATGGCTCCCAAATAAACTATAACAAAAAGAAGTGTTCACAATTACAATATATATGAAAGTTAAGAGAAAACTAATACAACATCTTACTTGATCTTCTGTCATGGAATCAAGCGCATCCCTGAAAACTCTTAACACATGTTTGGTAGTGTCGGTCCAACTAAAATGTGCAAACCATCTAGCAGCATGTGGACCCCTAGGTAAACCAACAGGGAAAATATTCCTCGCGTCTCTTTGTGCTACAATTTGAGGCCTAAGGACGGTAACTCTCTCCCATGCCCAAATCTAAACATAATAGATAATTATAAACTAGATAAAATTTCAATAAAGACTAAGTGTAATTATTGGGTATACCTGAAGTAGTGGTAGGAATCCAGCAATCTCATTTTGGGTACTTTGGGAGGCTTTACAAAGAAAGCGATACAAGTATGCTAGGGTTGCACTACCCCAACTGTAAGACCCTACTGCAGTGATATCTTCCAGCATATGCAAGTACATAAGCTTTAAAAGACCGCCAGATGTGTCTGCCAACATTAAACCAGCAATCATCCAAAACATATAACACCTAGCCTTCTCGTTGACCATATCCTGTGTTGCCAAGTCAGGCAACCGTGGCTGAAGTCGCAAGTGTGCATTAAGCGCAGAGACCTTAAGACTACTATGTTTAAAGTCTTGAGGGTGTGGAGTAAAACCTAATAATCTTTGACAAATATTTTGCCAATCAACTACGGACCTCTGTGGCTCATACCCAACTACTGGATTACCTTTCACGGGTAAGCCATACAATATCTCCACGTCCTGTAAGGTGATCGTAGCCTCACCCGTCCTAAAGTGGAATGTATGAGTCTCAGGACGCCATCTTTCAACTAGTGCAGTGATTAAACTTCGATCTATAACAGGCCTATGAGATCTATAAACACCATATAATCCGGATAATTTAATCACATCTAGAACTCGTGGATGGATAGGATGTTCATTTACTAGGTCCCAAAACTTCCCATCACATTTCCTTGTGTTCAAAATCATATTATCATTTCCTATCCATATATCTCGTGACCTATGAGTGAGTTGTCCAGTTAATACACACGGATCAAGTGGACCGGGATCCAATTGGTATGCATTATTACCAGCCATAAAAGAAATACCTATACATAAGTAATTATTTTTAAAATAATGAACCAAACTAACAAAGAAAATCAAACTCAAGTGTAACGTAACTTAGAAACTTTCCTCAAATGCTTTACCACGAACATTTTCAATCATATCAATTAAAATATAAGCTTTTCTATAAGAGTCGCAACTGTTGAGGAAATTGAATATCATCACTCAAATAGTTTCAAGTACATATAATTTCTTATTCTCATAAAAAGGGGAAAAAACAGAAACTAAAATGTCATTTTTTAACAAAAAGTAAACAACAAATTCATCAACTATAAGATAAACTATATCAGTGTATGACAAAATTACCTCAATCACAAAAAATTTCTTCTTTTTCAAAGGTTTTTGACCCTTTTTTAAGCAAATCTGCAGACGTCCTTCAAATTTTTGAAAGTTTCACCTCCAATCTCTTGTAGTGTGTCTAATCTTCAGTAGTCGAACAAAACTCTCAAATCTCTTGTATAGAACAAAAGGGTTTCAAATCGAGTAAAGATTAAGCATCAATTTTGTAAGAGAAAGAAGATGGGTTTTTTGTTTATCACCATAATTGCAACCTGAAGGTGGGTTAGGAGAAAGAAGATGGTTTTTTTAGGTCTTCCGTGAATCTCCCCTTTTTTTCTTCTGTAATTAGTACAACTAAATTGGGGGTTTTTTATTCTAGTGTAGGATTAAAAGATATATGCTTAAAACGTTATTCCCAATAACGTATTAGAGTTAAAACGTGATTCCCAGTTACGTGTTATTATTTAACGCCGTTAGCAGTCCGTCTTTTTCTCATTAAATTTTTTAAAATAAAATAAAGCATAAAACGTTACTGTGGACTACGTTTATACTAGTTTCGTAAAAAAAATTAAAAACATACTATTTTGGTGAATTGATTTAAACAATGGCTTATTTTGGTCAAAACTTCTGCAAATCAGACATTGATGGGAACTAATGAGCTCAAATAGTGTTATGTTGGTTATTTGAGAAACTCCTCAACAAAAGTTAATGATTTATGAAAGATGATACATACTTTGATATTCAAGATGGTCTACATTTTAGATACCAATGGGTTCCATTTGTTCTTGGAGCATAATTAGTCTGTTCAATTGATTTAATGTTATGGTTATGGTGGAGGGCTTGTCCCTATAAATAATTTATTCAGTCATGTTAAAGATTTCACGGATAGACGAGTCTAGAAGTTTCAAGGAAGTGATGAAATTTTTCTTTGGTCTTCATGTCACTGTATCATTCAACTCAAACTTTTATTTTATGAGAAGTTTTCTTTAAATACTCTTATGAATGGATTTCTTTTTGAAGGCTTTACATTATAGTTTGAACTCTTCTCATCGCTTTCCGCTTACTTTTCTATATCATGTTATGCTAGTTGGTTCGCCCTAGCAAGATATGACATCAAATGGCAATCTCACCTAAGCCCAGGGTCGAGGCGTGACAGAAAAAAGCGCCAGAAAAGACTAGTAGAGTGTAGCAGAGAAAACTGCTAAGTGATATTCCCATCATGATTTACAAGAAGGGATTGAAAGATATTTTACAATTAAATGGGCACCAATAAAGTTGAACATTTGCAGTCGTTGACCATTGATGTCTTGATTATCCTACTAATGAATGGCTCCAAGGGCAGTTGAAGTCATTACATAAGAACATAATTTGCATCTTCAATGAACTTATCACCAGCTGTTGGGGGCAAGTTATGCCGAGAGAGATGCTTATGAACCTGTGCATGCGTCTCAGCCTCATGTTGGAACATGTTGACCAGCTCCTGCAATTCGAGTTTCCTAATTTCGACCTGTTCTTCATTGATAGGCCTTTTTAAACCAAGGTATAGCAACCCAACAGCAATAAGCACGACACCTAGGACAACAAGGAGGACTGAGAATAAACCGAACGCATATGGTGTGTTTTGAGCTCCAGGGATCCCGTCCACATTGATTCCAAAAAGACCGGTGATGATTGTAAGAACAAGGCCACATCCACCAAAGACAGCCAAATTATGAGAAACTCTGAGGCTCTTATCCTAGAAATTGGAATGATGGGCCAAAAAATTACATTAGATTTTTGACAGAACTCTTATGAAAGGGTCTTTAGTAAAATGAAGTTTGATCATCTGGTATTAGAATGAAGTTGAATCCTCCTAGTCTATTGAACATCAAACAAACCTGCAACCATGCACGGAGATTGCTCTGCATGACATCTTGAATAGTAAATAAGCGTCCACGAACTGCTTCTTGCTCTTCAATCATTTCCCTCGTACTCTTTCTTATTCCTTCAAGGAGAATTCTAGTTGTATTTCCTCTCAAATGCTGCTGAAGTTCAAAAATAATCTCTTCCCTAGCATGAAGAGACCATTTCACTCTGATAACCTGTGTTTACACCATATAAGCAGTGTCATTCAAGAACACACCAGCTTGTATGACTTGAACACTCAATAAAACATGAAAACGACAAGGATAAATGGCCCTATTTACTTCGAGTTAATTTACTAAAAACAATTGTTCAGAAATTCTGAAAACTACAGAATTTCCTCTTTTGTTTGACGATTTCTTATGATGACACATTTCTCTTCTTATATTATCTTCTAAAGGGAATACAACTGAGTTATAAGTCCAACACTGTCATAGGTGATTTATCTACAACAAGATCAAATTCTAGAGTAGGTCATATTTCTCAACTCGAGAGAAATTTTCATGATTCAAGCAAAAAGCATGCTTCAAAGTTCATTGCGTATTTACCAAGAAATGACCAATAAAATATGCAATTAAGTTATGATTGATACACTCTATTTGATTTAGAAAAGATTTGAAAAATTAAAATTTACTCAAGGAGCAAGATAGACCTGTCTTGATAATCTTCTGATTTCCTGGTTGAGAATTATTACTAAGAGACTCAGATCTTCCTTGTTCCTCCTATTATAAGCAAAGAAGATCTATTTATAGCAGAATATGCTACATGAAAGAGCAATTACTTCCAGGAAGCTAAAATATGAGATGAGATTCCTGAACCTGTTAACAAACTTCAATTCCACTTCATCTGCTGCACCAAATATCAATTTCCGAAACAATCTTCACATGCATAAGCACAAAAAAGGACAGATTTAGGATTAACCACTTTATGGTGTCAAGGTGTTTCTTCATTCTGATGCTTAGAACCCTTATAGAGCAGTTAATCATTCAAGAGTTTGTAAAACATGCATTGAAAGTGACCAACATCAGTGTCGCCCATCACTTAGAACTCCTCCCACATCCCCAAGAAAAGTTTCAGGTACTGAACACTTCAGTGCCCACTATGAGTTCGAAGAGTAACACGTGAAGCAGACAACAGCGATAGATCCATCCAGATTGATTGAAATGCACTTTTTAGTGTCCTCAGGCTGACAAATGCAACAAAGTGTACCCTTTGGCGAAGTCCAATGAACTGGAGCAAACTTCCCCACGGAATATTGGCAGTTATGACAAAAATGAAATGAGGCGGTCTTACAAGGTTGTAACAATGTCACATAATGATGCTGCTCAGGTGAAGGTGGTGGAAATTGGTCCGCTTTTGTCTAAGGGCTAAGGGGCAAGAGAAAATAGGTGGCTACTAGCAGAAGAAGCTCCTCTTCTCTTCATAATAGAGAGCAGAAGGAAGACAGAACGTTAATTGAATATGAACTTCTGAAGTAATAAAAGTAATAACCAGGAGTGCAAATAAAATTGTCAAGTTAGCTGAAATCAAGTATATCCATTGGACCTTAAAAGGAGTATGTTGAAGTGGGACTATCTCATCTAAAAGTTTAAGATGTCAGAAAGAACACTCTATTATTTACTTAATTATATCCTTCTTTTATACTTCATTATATGTTTAACAGAGTGCAACCAAACAAGTTCTAGTTTCATGAGCTTGAAGGTGCTAACTGCATTTATGACACGCCATATAGTGACAAGAACCTAGCAATTACTCCTCCTATTAGAGTTAAAAACTTCTCGTCCGACCTTACATGAATGAAAGTTTCTCACTGTGGCATGCAATATGATAATTCTAGTCTCATAATTATTACTCCCTTCATCCCAATTTATGTGTCACAATTTAGATTTCGAGAATCGAACTTCTTAATTTTGACCATGAATTGGACATAGAATCTTTAAGTTTTTAAAAATAAAATTTACATACTCATTTTTTACTTTTGGAATCCGAACACCGCCACATAAATTGAAACAGAGGGAGCAGAAGATAACAAAATTTGTAAGGTGAATCTTGCACCATCACATTTCAAGGTTTTCTGAAGTTGCCCTCTAAGTTGAATCGGCTCAGACAGAGATCTTTCGCAGACTCAAGTGGAAGGGCAACAGCCCACAAGTGAAAGGCATACTTGATACATTAAGAATTTTGATGAGTTTCTTCCTACACAAGACTATTTTTGGTCGCTGGGACAATGCAGAAAAGCATCTGGAGAAGTTAGGCTTCAACTTTTTCCTGCAACCACTGGTTCTTTAAGGCCAGATGGTTCAACTATTTCGCATCAGAGAGCAGTTCTCTTACCTGTCATCCCATCTAGCAAGGCGGCTAGCTAAATGCGCAATGACTTCATGTACTGTCCGTGGTGCATTATAGCCACCAGCAAGAAGTTGTTCCTATAATGAAGAAAGCAACAGATATAAGTAGCCAAAAATGTTAAGAGTTAGATCCAAACTACTTCTGCAACCACAAACCAGAAGAGTCAAGTTGAGATAAGAAGGATGTAAAATTGAACAAGCATAAATGACCAATTGCACCAACATATAAAGTCGTGAGCAAGGGAAATGTTTAGCATCTATAGAAAGGATGACCTGAACTTCTGTGATACCCAAAACATTGAGGTTTTCTGCTGATCCTTTCACGTGCAAAGCCGTAACTAAAAAGTTCTGTGCTTGCCAAGAACGAATTACAACAGGGATGTCATCTTCGTCAATATATGGATCACCAGCAGATTGGCCCAACAGCTCAAATAACAGCCCTTCCGCCACCCTTACTGGGACCTAATAAAATCCAACCTGTGTTAAAATGGCAATATGACTTCATCTCTGAAAGCAGAAAGAAGCAATCCTTTTTATTTTAGCTTTTTATATTATGATATTAGGCAATCAGTTGTCACTGATACAAATGAGATTATTATCTCTTTACATCCAGTTTTCAGAAAAAAGATTATTATCTCTTTACATCCTCAGTTCACAATGACAAGAAGAAGAGGCATGAAGCAGAAAAGAAATTTTGAATTCTATTAGGTATATTACTTAATGCAAATCCAATAGTTAAAACTAAAACTGTTAAATTAATTTTATTACGTGCTTGGCCTTGAAAAAAGAATCAGGCCCGCGCGTGAGAGGGCGTACTGAGAATATAATTAAATAATAAAAAGTGTCCCTCTCTAACAGCTTAAGCTTTTAGATGAGATGGTCACATACTTTAACTAGGTATCAGAGCAGGCAGAGGCCCTGTGATCGAATCTCACCGCCACCCAAAGTAAAAAGAATTCCACGTGCTTGGCCCATGAAAAAGAATCAGGCCTGCACGTGAGGGGAGTGTGAGATGGTCACACACTTCAACAATTGAAAAGGAATGTCACGGGAAGTTAGTTAATAATATAATATCCAATATGGTTAGAAACATGCATGTTAACTCAATCACTAATTACAATAGTCACAACTGAATGGTTGAGAAAATCCATATGTAATACTCCCTCCATCACAATTTATATGACGCTCTTTTCTTTTTAGTCAGTCCTATAAAAAATGTCATTTTTCTATATTTAGTAACAATTTAACTTTAAACTTTTCACTTTACCCTTAACGAGATGGTTTGAAGCCACATAAACATATGTGCCTTGGTTTAGACCACAAGTTTCAAAAAATATTTCTTCCGTTCTTAAGCTTTGTGCCCAACAGACACCTTCACATAAATTGGGATGGGGAGTAGTCAATTTTCAATATCGAGGATGAAATGAAGATGCAAACAGTATACTTATCAAAGTACATAATCATTCACCTTAATCGCATTTCAAAGATTATTAATTTACCACAGATAACATTATGAATGCCTTGGATATAAAATTGGTGCCAGATTTAGCATAGATCAAATTACTGACTTTCTTATCAGTATATACAATTGTCAAATGAAATCCACTAGTCATTAAGAAAGATTAGTTCACCTGCAATAGCAACAAAAATGTTTTATGGCAACAGAACTTATCACTCTCCTATAACCAATGGTCCAAGATACAGAATACAAAATTTTGTCAGGTAGCTTAACTGGATATTACAAATAATTATCATGTCCCGTGCATTGGTTTCAAAGAGGAAGACCTCTACGTGTCATACACAAAGCATGAACATATATGTAAGCATATCGTCACATGTTAAGAAAAAAATAAACTACTAAAGGTCAATCTTGTCAAGAATGTGAAGATATCAACAAAAATAAATCTAACACAGTAAGCTTAGAAGATTACCTCATACAAGAGGTGTTTCATCTTTTCACTTATTAGCCGACCTTCATCTCTTAAGGCAACACTAATTGCGGGATGTAACCACGGGGCATAACTGAGCCATGCATCTACAGAAGGATGACCAGCAGTCACATGGCACCACCAAATAGGTCCAGCTGGACGCTCCCAGTACGGAGCGGCTAAATCTGCAACAGTGAGATCATCTTCATCATCAATGAGATCAAACTGCTGGGTGGACCATCCAAAATCTGCTTGAACAGTTTGGATAAGTTCAGAAATCCTAGCCCAACCAATAGGCCTCCAATGGCTCCCTCCAATTTTTTCCAAATTATAAAGCTTCTGTCCAGGAGAGCTTTGGTTATCCATCTTGCCATCCGCAGGAGAAATCTCTTGTTCTCTCAACTCAACAAGAGAGGTAGAATCCAGCAAACTGTTCCCGTTGGTTCTTTGAACAGGAGCCTCTGCCAATCTATAAGCACGCGCTGGCCTTTTAACTATTTCATTATCTATTTCATCAGGTGGTAAACTTTTGGTAGAAGATTTTGGTCCAAATTTCTTGTCTCCTCTAACAAACTCGAAAGCACAAATAAGTCCATCAGTCCACAGCTCACTCCCTCGCATGACATCCTTATGGTAGTGCACTCTTTGGCTCTCTGTCTTCCTAGTCCTATTGCCTTGTGAAGAGTGGCCCTCACTCATGCTACCCTTATTTACTTTCATGCACAAAAGCGGCAAACACTACAAAGTCCTGTGATGTCTTCTCAGCATAAGTGAGTGGCAAAACCAGAACCAAATGTCCCGATATTACATGAACAAAAGCCTTCTGAATTTTGCATTATCATATTGTTAGGATGTTCCTCAAGCCATGCCTGTGAATCAAGAGCCATGAGTCAAGTCAAGATGACATGCAGCTTGTGATTAACTACACTTCCGTACATTTATTACAAATATTTGCTACTTATCCTGCAATTGAAACATGAGAAGTCCATGCACCACATATCAACCCAATAATACAGAAACATACCAAATACAAAATAGTAGTTAAATTGCAGGAAGAAACAAGGCATTGCGAAAAGAAAAAATGCATAATGATACTAAAGAGTACTAACAATTTTTTAAAAAAAAGTACTAACAACAATCAGTTGTCTCCCCACAAACTCATCCATAAAGTTTTAAACGACAATGGAAGTTCCAAATTTGAAACAAACCCAAACTTTATGCACATATTTGCAAAAGATTCCTTATGATAACTTTGTCAATCATTTAACAAACAAGAATTTCCAATTACCAGTGTAAGTATACAACATGTCAGCCAAAAAACTCCTTTAAATTGTCAGTTAATTTAACCAAAAGAATGTCCCATATAGTTCATGGTCAAAACTCAATGAAATCAAAATAAGTAAAAAAATGTTACAAAAATCCCCAAATTTTGCTATCTTTTGAAAACTTTACACTGTATTTGTATATAACTTGAGCGAAGGGGAAAGCATAAAGGGACCAACAAAACCCAGAGAGAAGAAAATCAGTAACTGCTTACAGATCTTTTGGAGTCGCCAGTCCAACTATGGAAAGGGGAGAGGACACCCACTAAGATGATAATAGTAATTCCCTAGTCAACACAAATTTTATTTTGTTTTTTGCCTAATTAACTTACATAATTATAATTATTATGCTCAAAAATATAATTTTAGATAAACATTGATTTAAATCAATACTCTCTCTACGTTTCAATTTGTATATATTATTTTAATTTAATATAGAATTTAAGAAATTATATCAAATTTTTGAATCATGTGGTCATAAAGGCATAAATTAAAAATACGTCAAATATATCAAAATATCTTGTGATCTTAAGCATGTCTGGAAAGTTTGAATTAAAAAGTTGTCAAAAACGAAAAAATAGACATTTTCCTAGAAGCATACTAAAAAAAAAGAAGTATGAACAAATTAAAACGAATGAAATATGGTTCAGAAAAAAAAAAAAAACTAATGAAATATATAATTGTTCCATTCTCAATCAAAATTTTAGCATTTCTTGTTATTTTTCATTCACATCCAATTTAATAAAATAATGCCTTGACCTTTGAGTATGTTAAAATTTCTACTATAGTAGTGTGAGTGGAATTGGGTATCAACATGTATGTTTCCAGTCATATTCATATTAAATAAGGGTATTTTTGTCATATTATATTTATTTCCCTGATTCCACTTCATTACACGTGGGTCATAGGTGTCTTCCATGCCCACTTCCGTCCCTTTTATCAAAATCCATTCAATCTACCAAAGCTCAAAGCTTTCTTCATCTTCAACTTTCTCACACTCGTTGCTGCAATTCTAAGGTATTTGTTTGTTATTTTTTTCACTGTTATGTTATTTGGTTGAATGGATGCTAAAGTTTCATATTTTTTTTCTTCAGTTTTTCATATTTCATTGAATGGGTGTACGAAGTTTTGATGTTAATGAAGAATAGAAGTGAAAAGAGCTGCAGTAAGCAAAGGAGAAAAAGAAAATAGGGTTCCTATTTATGTATTTGAAGTTTTGTTATATAGGTTTACAAAGTTTTCATTTTTATGTTGGTCAAAATTCGAAGAGAATCAAAATTAGGGCAAAAATAAAGTTACAAATTTGCCAAAAATTTCAGTACTCGGATGAAAAGGACTATCAAAACTAAGAGCAACCCTTGAAATTTAGAGAGGAGAGTAACTAGCAAGGAATCCGTATGTTGTGGGATTAGAAGAGAATCACTCTTCTAAAATTTTAACAAGCTAAATTTCATGCCTATAAATTGCCTAAAGAACCGCATACCTTAATGTTTGCATTTAGTGCTCTTAGTCTATTTGTCTTCAATCAATGTTTGGAATTTCAAATGCGTGGAAACATAACTAAGTAATTAAATATGTGTTCTCTCTAACAACTTAAGCTTTAGATGAGATGATCACACGCTACATCATGGTATCGAAGTAGACAAGAGGTCATGGATTCCAATCTCCCCGTCACCCATTATTATCAAAAAATAATTTCCATGAACTTGGACCATGAAAAAGGTCTGCAATGACTGACGTTTTGAAGCATAATTAAGTAATTAAATGTCTCTCTGACAACATAGGCTTTAATTAGGTGAGATGGTCACACATTAAAACAAAATGTAATTGCTTATTGTGTGTTTCTGCATAATGTTGCATTGCAGTGTGTTCTTTTATCGTTCTAATTTAACTTTTGCATGTGTGTACCTGTATTGTTGTTTTATTAAAGCTTTTTTGGCAAGTTATTGAATGTCGAGAGAAATAAAATATTTTTTTGCAGGGATTGAAGTGGAAATAAGAGTTCGAGCATTTATCTTTGCTCTCTTCTATCATTTGGTGGAAAGATGATGGTAGGGAAAAAATATTTTCATGCTATTTTTAGCTCTTATCGAATTTGTAGATTTTTGAAGTGCTCCATTCACACGTGTTAAAGTATATGTTAGGTCGTTGAATTACTGCTTGATGATGGCTATGTTTTCTCCTTAACTTGAGTTTCCTTTTTGCAGTAAGAGACGAAAAATGGTATCAGAGCTATGGATAATAAGAAACACGGTAAGAAACATACGAGTAGAAAATTAAGAAAAATAAGAAGAAAATTAAACAAATTATATCTGGAATATAAACAACTTAATATCACAAAGACTGATAACGAAAAATTAAATCAATTAATAGATAATATATCTAAAATAGAATATAAATATATTCAATACTTAAAAATACAATGAATAACAAGAATAACGACTATAGACAAAAACTTAATGAAATAATTATAGCAAAACGACAAGAATTAGAACATAGGCAAAATAGACTTAACAATAATATATTCGCAGGAATTTGTCACAAATCTATAATAGCACAAAGAAAAACTATTTTATATCTAGAAATACAAATAAATAACTTAGAATATAAACTACAACATAATTTATAAATGAATAAAGAAGAATACGCAATAGATGAAAAAACATATGAAAATTATGACGGATTAAAAATAAAGATAATATTTTCTAACCTAGGAAGAAGATATAAGAAAATAGGTGACAATATAAGTTTAATGTTAGAAAAAGAAACGGTAAAACTAGAAGATAGTTTAACTGCTATGATAAGAATAACAAAAGAAAATGAAGAAATAGATAGAAAAACGGAAATTGAAAAAATAAAACAACAAGCAAAAAAGGAAGTACAACAATTAGAAGAAGTAAAAAATACCAAAATAATAGAGCTAGAAAAAGAGCTAGCAATATTAAAAGAAATGTATGAAATAAAACAAAAAGAAAAAGAACAAAAAACAAAATTAACAAATGAGATAATTAAATTTAAAGAAAAATTGCAACTAGAAATGAATTAGAAGAAAATAACCAAGATAATCTACCCGAAATAAGAATTGAAGAAATAAATGACGATGATCTAGAACAACATTCGGAAACAAGCGAAACATATACGGAACTTTTAGCAAACATAGATAATACAAAGAATTTAGAAGTAAATACAGAAGACGTAAACATGGACGAAAAACCTAGCACATCAGGAGTAAAAAACCCAAAAAATATTAATCCAAAATATTATAATGAAAATTATGAACAATATGATAAAGAAAAAACTACATGGGATAAAAGATTAAGTAGAAAATGGACGCCTAAACCAATAACTGGACAACATGATTTTTTAGATTTAGACTGTGTAGCAGATATAAATAAAACAATCCAATTATGGATAGGATATATATCAAAACAATTAATAGATAACAAGATAGTAATAGCAGAGGCACCAGGATACATAGAAAGAACACTTATAGAACAGTAAAATTATGGTTATAAAATTTAACAAGTGAAATCTTAACAACTTTAAGAAATAAAAAAAATTGATGGTGGAATAGCCACTACAACCATGGAAATATTATATAAATACGAAATAATTATAAGGAATGAATTTAGTAGTATGACAACAGAGGTAGAAGAACAAATAAAGAAAAGATCATAAATCGGAATCTAATGATAAAATTAACAATATGTAATATGTGTTACATAGATGAATATACATGTGCATTTAGAGAATACTATTATAAATGAACATATAGCACAGAAGAAAGTAAAGAAATAAGAAAATTATATTTTACAAAATTACCAGAACATTTTAATTAAAAAATAATAAAAAGTTGGAATGAAGCAGAATTAACGGACACCTTAGGAGCTAGAATGAAATTCTTACAACAATGATTTATGGAACTATGTGAAAAACATAAAGAAGAAATAAAAATGGAAAAAATATTAATAAAAAACTTAGCATGTTGCAAAAATAAAGCAGCACCTCAATTTGGTTGTACGGATAGGTATTATAAAAATAGAAAGAAATATAATAAAAAATATAGATCAAAATATAAATATAAAAAACCAAGAAGAAGATACTATGTCAAAAACTACAAAACCAAAAGACCATATAGACCAAAAAGAAAACTAACGGAATGTACTTGTTATAATTGTGGAAAATTAGGACATATAGCTATAGATTGTAAATTACCTAAAAATCCAAAGAAAAACAAATATCAGAAATAATAATAGACGATGAAAAATATACACAAATAGAGTACATAGATTATGAATTAGAAAGTGAAGATAGCATATATGAAATATCAGAAAATGAAATAGATAGTAACATAGAAATAGAATCAGATAATGAATTCTATAATATAACAAATGACTGAAGCAGACATACAAATAATAAATAAAGAAGAACATCAAGACGAAGAATCTTTAGAACAGAAAATAATATTTGATAATAGTATATTTGAACAAATAAAAGGAAAAGAATTAGACCTAAGCGTAGCAAAAATATTCGAAATACGAACAATAAGAAACTGGTTTAAATGACAAAAAGAAGAATATTATGTAGTAAGTCAAAGAGAACATATCATAGATTGCAAATATACTAAAGGAAAGGCCAAAATACCAATAATAAATAAACGAATAATAAATAAAGAAATACAAGATATTAAGGCTAAAAATCCAATTAAATATATACATTTAGGAGGAACAGAAATATTAATAAAAGCATGTTTTAGAGAAGGAATAGATACACCCATAGAAATATACTTAGCGGATGATAAAATTATACAACCCATAGAAAAAAGTATAATAAGTGCAGTAAGAGGTAACCTCATATACAAAAATTTAAGTTTATAATAAGTGTTAACTACTCAGTAGCAATAAATGACAGAAATATATATAAATCACTAGTATTATACTGGCGAATGTCAGGGATAGAACTAGCCCCAGGAAGTAAAATATTTACAGCTAGATGTAAAAACTTATATGTTCTAACAACAAAACATAAAATAACAGCAAAAAATAAAATAGATAAAATAAAAATAGAAGATCCCTTTGAAAGAATAGTTACAGTCATAGATAAAAACGATTATAGTTATAATGAAATTGATATAGAAGAAGATTTAGAAATAGTAAAAGAAAGACTAAGCACATCGAAAAGAATAAACAATGAGATACCCCAAATATCATAAAAAATGAGTACCTCAAGGAGAATAGATAAAACCCCACAAAAATCAATGGAAGAAGATATAAAACCACATCATTACTAC